AGAGGATTCACCAGAGACAGAGTGGAGAGCAGAACAGGCAGATGGACCAAAAGCACTGCTGAGGGGAGCAGCGGGCAAGACAGGATTAGTCTGCCGCGCCATGTGGGAATCTCCCTGGCCGGCCAGGAATCGAATCTGAGCTGCAGAGGCTGCGGACAGCTTCACAGTGCTGCGCTCAACCCACTCACTTGGAGATTTGAACTAGTCATTGTGGCTATTCAAGCATAAAGTTCCTTGACATGGAAATTGGCTGCATTTTTAAAAATTCTATTACAACATTTGTGCAACTTAAGAAACTGGTTAAAAACTATGTGTTTTAATTAATGACCTGATACCATTGGTATTTGTTTTCCAGGGATTATACAAGATAGGAAATATTTGAAAACGATGCATTAATAAAGAGAGGACTTTTTGAAGTGCAGTTATGATTCTTGGAAATGATTTTTTTAACATACTTCTAGGGCAATTGTTTTCATGAGATTATATTTGAAATTCTAACTCAAGATGGCTCACTCACATCATAGAGGAGAGTTTCTATCTTGGGAATTCTCATCAAAATATGCCAAAGGTTGTCAGGCTTTATGTTTCAAGTCAATGAACAGAAATAGAGAACAGATACCACAACTCACAGTGAGACCCTGGGGTACAAGAGAAACTTACACGATGCCACTTCCACACTTGTCACAGAGTGGCATCTTCTGTGCGCTGCTGGCCCCGCCGTGGACTTTCGTAACCGGAGCCCTCACACTCCGAGTTCCAGCAGGGCGGTCATCTGAAAAATAAAGTCTTTCATTTAGGGGAAGGGGACAGCTGGGTGCAGTTTTGTGCTTTGCCTCTATTTTAAGGTGCGCCCTTTAATCTAAGGAATCCTTATGCTGCACCTGTACCATTCTCTCAAGAGGAGTAAGACCAATCCATGCGTCACTCGTTCTGAAATAGGACCTTTACAAAAACATAATGCATCCACATCTGTTGTTGTTGTAGGGAGCTGTTACAAAATGCTCAAAGGGACAGAGGACATTTTGCATTCTTTTTTTATTTGACCATCTTAACCATTTTAAGTATGCAATTCAATGGCATTAAGTACATTTGCCATGCTGTGCAGCTATCACCAAGATCTATTTCTAGAACTTTTTTCATCCCCCCAATGTCTGTACCCATTAGACCACAACTCTCCCTAACCTCTGCTGGTAGCCTCCATTCTACTGAAGAGGAAAATGTCAGGCTGACCTGTTGATTAGCTGAAGTTGGGACATAGCCTGTAGACTGAAAGTTTTAGGGAACAACTGATAAGCACCTTCAAGGCCACATGCACCCAGATTCACGCCTTCCCAGGTGACTGTACCCCTTCTTTAGTCAATAAATACTCTGTAACCTAGTTGCTCGGGGCTGAGACTTTGGAACGAGATCCTCTCCAGGCCTACCGGTGTAAAACCTGCCGGCATAAATAAGGAGTTTCCTTCCTCTCTGAGTGCTGCATGCTTCCCTAATGAGATCTGCTGCAACACTACTTGCTGTCTCTATGAAATGCTTATTCTAGATAGTTCATTAAGTGGAATCATTCAATATTTGCATTATTTTGTTGGGCTCGTTTCACTTAGCTAAAGCTCCAGGCTCTTCCATGTCACAACAGGTATCAGAAATTCATTCCATTTAAAACTGAGAAAGTCTATTGTATCCATCTATCAGATTTTGTTTTTTTCATTCATCTGTTAATTACACTGGGTTGTTTCCACCTTTGGATTATTGTGAATAGAGCCGCCATGAACAATGGGGAACAAGTATCTGTTTGAGTCCTTATTTTCAGTTCTTTGGGTGTGTATCTAGGAGTCGAATGGGAATGTTCAACTTTATCAGGAGCCACCAACTGCTGGCCATAGCGTGGATTATATGCTCCAAATTGGCAACCCCCAAGGACTGCTGTTTCTCCGCATCCTCGCTGCTCTCGTTATTTTCGTTTTTTCTTTATGATAACAGCCATCTTAGCAGGTTATTTTGAATTATTGTGCACCTTTTAAGGGACATTGATACTTCTTTTGGGTGTGAAGAAACACTGGGAAAAGTATGAGCCCTGAAGACAGTAGGAGAGGGCTGGAGACTCAGCTCTACTTCCCGGTGTCTGTGTGCCTCTGATGTTCATCATTCCTTAAATAGGGTAAAAACAGCTCCTACCTTACAGAGCTCTGGTGAGGACTAATGATCACATACACAGAGCACTCAGCACAGGGTTTGGAACATAGTGGGGTTCGTTCCAGTGTCATTTTAAAATCTCGATGGCGAAGATACTCTGGAGTGTGGGTGGAAGATGGGAAATTTTTCCAGACTCACTTAAAACGCCATTTTCTGATTTATAAATTGATCTAGCTTTGACTACTGTGGGTATGATGTGTCTTTGATTCCTTTTCACCACCATGTTAGTGGTTGGTTGGACATGTTCTAGAAGCTCCTTTTCTAAATCACTAACTACCACTGAGATCCTTCTGAGCAAAGATTCAACTGATTACTGACTACTGCTGATTTTAGGCTTTCGTAGCCATTTTGTTTGCTGTCCTTGCCTGCCCTGAGCCTTGCTACAGCCTCCATCCGGAATGTTCGGGCCATGCATGGCTGCTCACCTGGGCCGTCATTCACCAGTTCCTGCAGCACTCTGAAGGAGCCGGACTGGCGAGGCTGAGTCGGTTCATCCCTATTGTCATGGAGCATCCGGTACACATCGGACTGGGGGGGCAGCGAGGCCGTGGGTTCACTGAAACCCAACAGATGGTAGCAAAGCAGGGTCAGAAGCATTTTATGAGGCACCAGGCATGTAAGAAGCCACAAGACATCAGAAAGCAATAATCACTGTATTTGCAGCAACACCTGAACAAGATTCAATATTTTCAAGTGAATGGCTATTATAGTTAAAAATAGAGCATGGGCTGCCTTAAAAATGTCATTAACCTGGGAGTCACATCAGCATTTCTTCATTGTGTGAAGACTTTGGAGGGTAACTTAAAAGGGGATTGCTAGGAAATGGTAATTAAAAAAATAAGACTCTAATGGAGACAATTATAGATGTGAACAAAATTGACTCTGAAGAAAAAGGACAATATACATACAATATAAAGTGCAGGAGTGAGCCCAATTTGATTATTCTCAGCCATAAAGTTGTCAATAAAATTCGGTAAGTTTCTGATATTAAACTAAAAGTATATGGTTTGTTTTTGTTTGAAGATTAGTTTGCTTTGGTAATGCCATAAAGGTATCATGTGCTTATAAGTTGGAGAAATTCAACTTGTCAGTGTATGAAAACACACTACATAGAAACATTCTTATATACATCAGTCATACTGACTACATTATATTTTTAAATATCCACATTATAATTCATTTACAACAATGATGGCAGCTTTATTTTAGCATACTTTATATATAAATATTTTCATGATGAGCAACTAAAAATGCCACAATAATACTTTATTTCAGGGCCTAAATATTTTTTTTGTGTGTCATTTAGTTGCACAATCTTGCAAAGGTAGTTGCTATCTGCATATATTTTTATTACTTATGTTGTCTTTGAAAGGAGTCATCTTATATATCTCAAATTCCTTGCAAAATGGCTTTACTTTCATTAACACTTCATAATTATTCCAAGAGATATCTGAGATATTGTTGCATAGCACTCTTAATTTTTTTTATATATAAATAAAAGTTATTATATATATTTATTTATTTAATTTATAAACAGTGGTTCTGTAACATCAAAAGAAGAACATTTTATCATCTGAAAAATCTTGAGTAGAAAAAACTTGATGTTAAAAGTGCTTTGAACAAATATTCATAACAGAAGAAATTAGTTAAAGACCAATGGGAATTACATATCTACATTGTAATTCTTGGGGTTTTCATTCACACATTTATTTAGGACAAATATTTTAATTGGGAAAATAATTACCTCTTCATAAGATGCTTTTAGAAGAGAGAAAAAGTATCATCTCTTAAAATTTATCTGAACTGTCTATCCTTTTCCCAATTTTTGTTCTTCAGAGGAGAAGCATATAGTATACTAGATAAATCACTTTTGAGAAGTATTGTACCAGACAGTTACAAAGTTCAAAACACACATAGGTTTGGATCTTCTATGAGTTTATCTTATTGCAGTCAGTCCCATAAAGCTCTATTGAGTTAATTCTTCAAATCATCTTTGTTATTAGATCTAGATATTTGCAATAAATCCTTAGTATTTTTTTCTTTCAACCATTCATAAGCTTTCTTTCAGGTAAGATAATGTTAAAAGACACCAACAAAGTTGACATTGCCCACGTGTTTAGTTAACATGCCCATGGTTCAGAAAGACTCGTATTACCTCATGGAGGAGGGTGTGTCCCCTAGAGCTGTTGAAACCTGACCCTGAAGTGTTTCCATAATATTGTCCTCTGAGTACAACTGCATAGGTGTATTAAACTGAGCATGTACAATCTTCACACCAGGAAGTTCCATTTCCAAAGGAATGTTAGGGGCCATCTTAGCAGCAACTTTCAAGTCACCTGGGCAAATAGTACTAACAGTACTGACAGAAGAAGGGGTGCTACGCCCGCTGGCACAGTCAAAACCCGACGGAGTGCTGCATCCACTGTGTTAATGACCACGTGACACAGAGATGAACCCGGACATCCAGATAAAACACAGAGAACAAGTACAGAGAGGTTAAAGGAATTGAAGACAAATAGTGAGAGATGAAGTAAATTAGAATGAAACAAAATGTTCATATCTGTCTAGAATTTAAAAAAGAAAGGTGCTGAAGTTCATGGCTGGAAAACATGTAACAGAATTAAAAGGTACAGGCGATACTGCATTTTTTGGCTCTGTTCTACTAGTGATATGTAAATAGAAAGAGTTGTGTATATATAGTAAGTAGGAAAGATACACCTATTCTCAGTTTTTAAAAATAGGCCAAATAATTTTAAACTTGACTATCTCAAATGACCCAGGTATATACATTGACAGGATATGGCTTTGCATTTCTGCAATGTTTAAAATTAACATATAATAATTAATCCTTTGCAGACAGGAAGACACAATCAAATATTCAGATTAAATGTTTCAGAAATACAGTAAAGTGTTAATTAAACAGTGAGTTTAAGGCTATTTTGTAAATGTTTTATTGCTACTATTTTATTGCTAATTTTCTATTTTCATTCTTTAATGTTGTGAACAATGTGGTAGTTTAACAGAGCTCTAGAAACAGCCAGTAAATGCTTGTCACCTTGAAATGAATGATTAGAGGGTAAATAAGGTGCTCCCAGACTCTGAGGTTGCAACCTTGGGCTAAGTTTTATTTCTTTTCTATGTAGCTATTTCACGTAAAATTTTAGAAGTACACAAATATTTCCATGCATGTTTATCATTTCCTCTTAAAGAAAAGTTGAGGAGGCTTATTGGAAAACCAGTCATGCAATTTTAAGAACAGAGTAGAGTTTCTATATCTATGAAACTGGATGAGAGATTATAGTCACAATTGACATGCAAATGACTAAAATGTAGTATTTCTACATGCATTTTCGATGCAGTTAAAGGAATGCATTTTATAAGAAAATGAAATATACTGAGATTTTTAAAAAGGCAGTTACTGAAGACAAAACAAAAAGAAATATTAGCATTAAGTATCTATTAATCCTGTCAGTTAGCCTTGCTGTAAACTCAAGATAGAAAACGATTTATATGGTGTGTTAACCTCAAATCAGTCTCTTCTTAGGGTTCAAGTGTGACCCCATATCTGCATATATTGTCTAGGGTGACTCATGTTAACGTCAGCCCAATAGAGAAAGTGAAAATTAAACAGATATTGGGCACTGATTTTGTTGGCTTCATCAATGTTGCAGCCTGGTTAGTCTGGACAACTCAGGTCACCAAATGGATTAAAACATTTTTTCTCTTTGTGTTATCCAATTCAAACACCTGCAGTAGCCTAAATCAGGCAGGTAAATATGGACTTTTTCCTTTACTTCTTGACTGTTGAAACCCTGTTTAAAATTCAAGCTGTGAAATGGTTGATGGCATACAAAATGCCAAGTGACCTCTTACTGTTTCCATAGGCTCAGCTTACACCGGCTCCTGAATTTAACTTTTGTTGGCAAAAGAATAGGAGTAAAGTTTCAGTTATAGTGCAAGTTACTCAGAAGCATATTGATTTGACCTAAGTACAATGAAACTTATTAAATTACAATTTAGGGATTTGAAACACTGAGTTAAATCTTGGGAGACTTGGGTTCAAAATACTGAATCTTTCCCATAACATTTATAAAAAATGTGCCTTTACTATGTGCCTATAATAGTGCCAGAGAGTGGATCAACTGGATTAATCAGAACTTTCAGATACATCTTATTTTATTGTTGTAGTTAGTATTCTTTTTCTATTATCAGCGCTCTTGTTTACATGCATATTTGTGTATATAACTTTACTTATGCAAAGACTGTGTCTTTTATTCACTGGTTTCTCTTATCATTCTATTTAGGGGTCTATCGAATAGATAGGAAATGAAAAATGGCCGCCGGGCTGGGGCACCTGAAGTAGACACTATTCAACGAGCCCAACCTGTTAAGCTCAATCTAGCCTAACACCAACTCCTTCCCTCTGAGCAGACGGATGGAGCTGAGGTCAGAGGAATGAAGTTGAGGTTTCCCGAAGTCACCATTTTCTGATGTGGCAACTGGGATAAATTATTCCCCTTAGGTTAGAATTCAGTTTTTAGAGAAGGTATTTGGAAAGGGTCACCATGAAGATTGACGGCCTTTGATCAAGAGCTGGCTCAGTATTATCCTAGTGTGTAGACAGCTACCAAGAAGGGGATCACCAGTATATCTCCCTCCAATTCTTTTTTATATCCATTTCCCTGCAAGTGGAAAAGTTCCTTTTCAAATGACCTTTCCTCCTTTGCTATTTTAAGAATGAAAATTTATTTTTATGCAAGAGTGGGATTCCGCAGCTGCTCTGTTGGAGCAGTGAGAGCAGGAGCTGACGAGGGCATTCCGGGAGTGCCCATCTGCTCCCTCGGCCCTGCTGGGGGCTGCCTTCCATTTTGTTCTCCCTGACTGGGGTTTCCTGACCTGGAATGGAGTACAGCTGCCTGGCTCAAAGGTCACTGTGTTCTGGATGGGATCCGCAGGGCAACAGGGGTGGTAGTTATAAATATACGTGGTAGTTTATAACATTTCACAGCCCTTAATCTTTTCAATATTTACTCTTGGAAATGGAAGTTAGTTGGCTACTGTTCTTGTTAAGTGAATGTTTGGTTGTTTTGCTATTGAAACAAGCTGCAAAGTGAGAAAAGTCACTCCAAACACCTAAAAACACCTTCTTGGCGATTAGTAAGAATTTATTAAGGAAGCATGCATCTCACATGTCGCAAGCTCAGAGTTTATGACCTGCTTCGGCCCGGAATTATGAAAGGTTTGGGCCGAATATTGTGCTTGTGTTCAAAGTAGTTGACTTCCTGCAAAAAAAAAAAGGATTAAAAAGTCCCTCAGTGGAAGATTAATTTTTTTTAGACAAAATTACGTGAACGATAAGTATCCAGAGAGAATCATTTACCACCAAATACTGACATGACTAAGCAAGGCGAAGATGGCAGCTGAGCGATTTCTTGTTTTCACCACCTAGTCACTAAACGTGCAGGAACTGGCTAACTGTTCAGAGAGCATGTTCTAGATGCTTGTCTCTAAAACAAAAAAATCTGATTGTGTCTTTAGGAAATGAAACAGCAAGAGCTGGACTTTGGAAAGGAAAAGAAACCGTATGATTGCTGTTAAGGACATCACGGCCAGAGATGGAGCGTCGGGTACTTACTTTTGAGGTGAACTAGGAATGAGACCCCGCAGCTGTCCATGAAGCGCGTCTTGTATATTGCTAGTTGAATAGAGCCCAATTGGCGAGTTATAGGAAGCACTCACTACCTGTCTTTTGTCATCAATGTTTGCTGCTGCAACAAAAGGCTGGGCCCTTCTGTTGTGCGCGGTACCAATGGGTTTGAACTCCTGTACAATGGCAGACAAAACACAGCCACAGAGTGCACAACAGAGCCGTCAGTGAGCAGAATAACAGCGTCGCTCTTGTTAATACAGGGTTCTCAACCCACTATGAGATTAATGCAAAGATAAAGGATTAGGTAGACACTTTTCTACATAGTCCATAAAGTTTACAGCTTCTACATTTATAGATCAAATGTTTAGGTGCAAAGGAATTGATTTTATTGGAAATATTATGAAGGAATCAAAACACTGTTTCTTTTGTCTGCGCTATTATTAGATCTATATCTTTTAGGAAATTCTCATATGACTCATTTGAATTACGGAAATTTTGTGTTAGGAGACTTTTTGGCTTAGAAAAAATTTTTTACTTAACAATTTCTCAAGAACTTATATATGCTTTCTTAATAAAATTTATAATATAACAATAGTATATATTATACATATGATATATATCATATATATGCTATGTGTCACTACCTACATCACTATATATAATATACATTATATACTAATGTATACTAGTATACATTATATACTATATAGATCACATACTAATAGTAATATACTATTACTTAATAAGATATGCCTCATTTTAAGAAATGGAGGAATAAAACACTTAGAAAGGGATTGACCATTAATGAATAACTCCACTGGGTCATTTTAATTAACAGAAGTAAAAGTTCTGTTTTTTTTCTTATTACCTATGACAAAAAACCTCAAATTCTTGATTTTGACTCAGTTAAAACCTTAAATTTAGAAAAATAACTCAAAGAATCTCTTTCTAGGATTAACATTTATAGAAATCCCCTTTTAAAAAACTGTATTGATTTCGTGTTGTATGTTTAAAGGATCCTTTATGTTTACTCTAGTGCCAGAAAGACTCAAGTCAGAAATTTGGAGGTAGCTGATGTGTAGGATTTATGAAAGGATTTTCACTTTATAACTTGGGGGAAAAGATCAAACATCAGCGCCTTTAATCTTGAGTTTGAAACATGCTGTCATCCTCTGAAATTTTTTTATTATTTTTTAATATAGGAATCACATTTCCCAATTTTAGATAGATTTATAATTTTGTAAAGTCGCTAATTGGCTTTTTCTTCTAAGCTATGGGAGAAAACCAAAAGGGAATGCTGAAATACTCATGAGCTGGTTCTCAGTCCAAATTTTTCCTTTGGCAGAGTTAGTGGGAGAAATCACTGCAGTATTTTCACTCACACATTCACATCCACTTTCTTTATGTTTGTGAATGTGCCACCAGTATTTCACATCCTACAAACATTTATGACTCAAAATGTTCCCAGAAAGAGACAGCTTTTTTTTTGAAAGACAAAAAGGCCTCATACTATTCTTGTTCTTGTTTTCTAATGCTTGTTACGTAGATGAGTAAGTTGTGGGATGGTGCCTTTTTTTTTTTTTAAGGAATCGCTTCCTTTTCTTCAGAGTGGGACCAGCATCCCACTTCCTATTGGAAGTTAGTAGCTTTTTTTCTTCATAAAATATGGCCTTAAAAATCATGGCAAATAGATCGAATTTACAAAAATTAGTTAACGTAATATTATGACTGTATGGAAGGAAATCTCTGCCCTTATTTCTGCTTAGTCTTAAAAAAAAAATGGATGATGATTGTCTTATAAATGAGGCAACTTTCCTGGAATATTTGTGCACTAATAATCTAGTGTTTCTTTCAAATAGCAGCATGTAAATTTATCAGCTCCAAAATTTTTCTTTGCCATTTTCAGGTTGGGTTATATATTGCAAAGGTCACAAATGTATAATTTGTTTAAAAAGAAAAGCCCTCCATTTCTGCTGAAATCACAAAAGGAAATATTTCTAATGCAGGCTTCAAACATTTGTTTAGGCTTTGCAAAGCATTAGTTTATGGGCTGCTAGAGTCATTCATTGCAAAAAGCACAATAAAGTATATACACCAAAGGTAAACAAAAATTTGAAGCAGGGCACCAAGAAGCAACATTCTATCCAAGTCTTACATCATTGTTGATGGTCAAATGGAATCAAAAGACCAAACCAGTTAGAAATTTGCTTTTCCCTGCAATCCCTTATTTTTCCTGGAAAATTATTAGTAACAGGAAAAAAAACCAGTAAAAAAAAAAACTTAGATAGTAGTTAATATAGTCCAGCTCTTGTGTTTATTCTACTCAGACAAAAGATCCAAATGATTCCTAACTCCTAGGAATTCAGTAGTTAATCACTGCAATTAGGAATAATATTTTGAATGAATGAAATGCTAGAGCTGCCAGAGTAAAAGCTAAGTTGACAGAGCTTCGCTGACACCTGGGAGAATGTAGCTCCTTTTTTTTTTTTTTTTAATTCCATTTTTTTAATAAGAACAAAATTTTGTCAAAAGACATCTCCTGCTCTAACTACCAATCATATATGACTCTTTACTATGTCATCCTGAATGCTTTTTCTTTTTCTTTTCTTTTTTTATTTTTATATTCCCCATACAATTGCAACCCCCTTATTTTGACCCCAATCCCTCCCCTCCCCGCCCCCTACCCCCCATAGAGTAACTCTGGTTCACAGTTGTTTGTTGATTTTGATTTTTACTTTCTTATAGTTATTCTTTTTTCTGGTCCCTTATTTAAGTCTTCTAGATTCCTGTTATGAGTGAGACCATCCGGTAGAGAATGTAGCTCTTGACAGCAATCTCCTAAATCCTTGGGATGACCTAGCCATGTGAGCTCACAATGAAAGTATTCACAGAAAATTCACTTTTCAATTTCTTACTTACAGAAGTTGTTCACAGACAAAGTCCCGGTCCAAGAATGGAGGCAATTAGCACCCCAAATGGAAATAACACAGTAAGATTCATATACACATTTATTCATTTATTATATGAAAAAATGATGGGGAAATAAGGGAAGCAAAATATATTAAGTGATCATTATTTAGATCAAGCCACACTGAGCAAATGATAGTATTTGATCGTCTTTGGAAGCTATGACCATCCCCCACCTCTTATGCTCACCCCTCAAATGAAAAAGAAGGTTTCCTGTTTCCTGTATCTCATTGAGGAAGAGTCTGAGGATTTGGGGATTAAGAAAGTTTGTTTTCTGGTAAGTCACCTTCTAGTGAACATTGTAGGATAAAAGTTATTTCATAAAAATGGAAACAATTTCAACCCATACCTCACCTGACTGCACATGGTACAATATTATTAGCAGAACTTCTATGGCCAGGATACAATCCTTTATAAGGAAATGAAAGTAACTATCCTTCCATTTAGAAAAAAAAAAGGTTGTTTTTTTGTTGTTGTTGTTGTTGTTTCTGCAAAGCATCATTCCTGTATTCTGCTAGCCATTATTGTGAGAGCCACATTACAATTGTGAGTTGTTCAACTAACATTAAGCAAAGTTTCAGATAATGTCTTTTAAAAATACAAGCTTTGAAGAGGGACCAAGAACTCAAACAACTTCTCTTTAGCCTAGGGTGGTATTCTGTATAGAAAAGCATGTGTGTCTGTGACCAGCTGTGTTCAGGATTGTATGAAAAGCCTTTATGTAATGGGGGGGGGGTGATCTAAACAACCTCTACAATTCCTTGTAAGTCTATGGTTTGAGCCTAAGTTCATAAAAACAAAATTTAGCTATTTAAAAGCAGCATAGAACAATGAAAAAAGTCTAGATATTAAAATTTGGTATGAATTATTACTATAATTGTGTAAGAAAAAAGTTCCTAAAGCCTAAACTTATGAATTGGAGAAAAGATTGGAAGTAAACACACTGACATTGATTATTTGTGGCTGGCTGTGCTTGGATGGTAGGATACAGTGTTTTTTTTTTTTCTTTTTAGTGATCATATATTACTTTTAAAATGAGGCAGAGCATTTCATTCTAACTGTAAAGGTCACATAACTTACAATAAAAGTTTGACTTGGGTTAAGAAACAAGCTCCCAGGGCCTCCCCAGAGGCACAGTGGTTGAGCGCTGGGTTGCGAAGCTGCCGGCAGCCTCTGCAGCGCTGGTTCAATCCCTGGCCACCAGGTGAGGGTCCCACAGGGCGAGCAGACCTCTCCTGCCACCTGCTGCTCCCCTCAGCAGTGTACTTCGTCAGTCTGCCTGCTCTGCTCCCCGCTCTGGCTCTGGTGAGTTCTCTTGCCCTCCCGCGCTTCTGACTGTACCCAGTGCGTGTATAAATAAATAAATAAATCTTAAAAAAAAAAAAAAGAAACAAGCTCCCAAATATTATATTACTCAATGGCATTTTGGTATTCACTTGCAATGGTGTCTTCAAACATGATATATTAATGGCATTTGTTTTTCAGACTGACACACCTTTGTTGTCCAGACAGTATTATTTACAAACTTCTCATGTTGGTGGGGAAATAAAGACCTCTCTTTGCACAGCTTACATTAATTTAAAACAAAAGAGAGGGGCCTCCCCGGTGGTGCAGCGGTTGAGCGCTGGGTTGCGAAGCTGCCCGCAGTCTCTGCGGCGCCAGTTCGATCCCCGGCTGCTCCCCGGCCACCGGAGGAGGGTCCCACATGGCGCGCAGACCTCTCCTGCCGCCCGCTGCTCCCCTCAGCAGTGTCCTTCAGTCCTTCTGCCTGCTCTGCTCCCCGCTCTGGCCCTGGTGAATTCTCTCACCCTCCCGCGCTTCTGACTGTACCCAGTGCTTGTATAAATAAATAAAAAATAAATCTTAAAAAAAAAAAAAAATAAAACAAAAGAGAGGAGGGCCTCCCCGGTGGCGCAGCGGTTGAGCGCTGGGTTGCGAAGCTACTCGCGGTGACGGTTCGATCCCCGGCTGCTCCCCGGCCACCAGAGGAGGGTCCCACATGGCGCGCAGACCTCTCCTGCCGCCCGCTGCTCCCCTCAGCAGTGTACTTCAGTCCTTCTGCCTGCTCTGCTCCCCGCTCTGGCTCTGGTGAATTCTCTCACCCTCCTGCGCTTCTGACTGTACCCAGTGCATGTATGAACAAAAACAAACAAACAAATAAATTAAATAAAACATGCCTCTATAAAAAAAAAAAAATAAAAAATAAAACAAAAGAGAGGAATACAAAGTTACAGTTTAGCTTTTGTTCAGTCATGGTCTAAAGTAAATATAAGTTAATTTCTTGGTTCAGCCAAGTTAAATTTATTTGGTTATTATCACCCCGGCCTGTTCTAGTTCATGCTATTTTCAGATAGCAGAGGCTGTGCTGAAATTTAGCCATGTTGGTAGAGAATGTCTGTCTGGAGTTATGTGAACTGGTCACACAGAAACCTGACCTGGGGATTATAAGGAGCAGGAATCCTTCAGTCCATTAGGGGAAGAACTGAAATGGTTCTTATCTCTGAGTTCTTCAAACAAGGGCTTCTTGGAGAGGGTGTCAGTAAGAATTAGTCATGACTCAAACTAATGGAATGTTCAAAGGCTCCCGCTGACTGACTGCTGTAGCCCTTCACCCAATCTTCACTTGTTTAACTTATGACATTCTCTACCTTTTCTCCATCTGCAGTATCATGAATAACCATATCGTCTCACCCCAAAATGTAGGACACATGGTCTAATACATGATTGCCAAGAGGCCAGAGTATTTAAAATGAAGATTTTAAAATCCATTTCTTGGAATAACCATCGTCATAAAGGGCTACTCAGAGGTTTACAAAAGGGACCTTATCTAGAGCTAAAACACAGTGAATTGCCCTTAAAGTCCAATGCTGGAGAGATGTCAGCAAAACTCACACTTCCATCCTGGTCTGAGCTCATCCTGTGCTTAAATATTTGCTGAGTCACCCACATGCCAGAGGGGCCACGGCAACATGATCCGGGATCACTGAGGATTTTCTACTTTGGTCAAAGCTGTCTAATTAAATTGTCCCCACAGCTTAGCATCTCGCATTAGTAAAATCAGGTTTGAAAAATTGGGAGAAATTTTGAAAGCAAAAATAATTTGCATAAGGGTGCAGTACAATTTGGGGTGTGTATTACATGTAGAAGAGGAAACTCAGGATTTTTATCTGGTTTGTCCTGGTGATAAGATGAGCCTTCAATTTTCTTTATAAAATTTTTTTAAAGCACCACAGGATCTCCCTTCCTCCTTGTGTTATCTCCAAGTGATGAATTGATGAGGGTGGGAGGAAGCACATGAGCCTGGGCCCTGCCTGGGGAACGTTTTTCCTTCTTCTAATCTTTTTTTTCCCCATGGAAGAAAATATTGATTACAAGAATTTTCACCACCTGACCAGAGTAAGCCGCCATGTGCATTCAGATTCCTTTGCACCACATTTATTATCATCTTATCCGTTTAATATTTGCTCACCAACCCTGATGGTGGAACTCTTATCTATCCTAAACAACCCACTCCACTTTCAAGATCACTTTTACCAAGCAACCATTCTGGGAATTGGTTCCCAGGATTGGTCCTGGGTAATGTTAGAAAATGAAGTTTATCTTTAGACCCTCTGGTTCCTTTCATTCATTTATCAGCTATTTAGTGAATACTGTGCCTGGGAAACTGAGAGCCAAAAGAACAGTTATGGCCTTCATGAATATTCCATACCCTGCTCACTCCCTTTGGGGCTTTTCTTCTTTTGCACTTAGTGTTTTATTTTATTTAGCTGAGGGGAGCAGCGGGCGAGACAGGAGAGATCTGCCACACCATGTGGGCAGCTCCCTGGCCTGCTGGGGATCGAACTAGTGATTCAGAGGCTACGGACAGCGTCACAGTGCTGTGCTCACCCCCTTGTGCCACCAGGGAGGACCCTGCATTTAGTTTTCAGGCTAAGACTCTTCTTTCCCACCAGTCAAAAGTCTAGAACAAGGATCTAATAAAGTCATCCCCCCAGAAGGTTAAACTATGGGGATAGCTCCTCTCCTAGAGAGCTTGTCTCTTCACTGAAAAGAAAGCTTTAATCCCTTGTAATTTGTGATGTTTCTTGTAACAGTATCGAGGGAGGGATTGCTGGTCTCTGGAAGCCTTAACCACCTTCCTTTCTGTCACAAAAAGCCAAGAGGCTTTCTGAACACAGCCTGAGGGAAGAGGGTCTGGGACTAATAATAACAAGAGCTCTGAAGTAATGAATATGTGCATGACCAGTTCAGTATGCTGTCTTTTTCTATATTATTTCATTTAAATCTTTGAGAAGCCCTGTGAGATACAGGCACATATGTTCCACTGCATGTATTTTATGGAGAAGAAATGGAGGCTTTGGACAATTGGGAAACTTAAGGACAAATTCAGGAGAGATGATCTGAAAGGGAAACACTATTGAAGCAGAAATTATGAGAATGTTTTCAGTTTATTTTCAATAGATATATAGAAAAACTGCACTTTGGGAATGATTCAGGAAGAGTACAGGGACAGAGGCTGCGGTCCCATTGTTTTTACTGGGCTGGTGAACAAGAGGTTAAAGGAATCTACTCATGGCCTAGACACTCTTGGCCCATAGTGGTTTCTTTACTAGTTTTTCGCCAGCCTGGGCATTCCTGAGCTCTCTACATACCTGAGACCAGACCAGATCCGACTGGCTCTGCGGATAGAGTCTCCGTGAGCTATTCACCCACAAGGTGGTCATGTGCCCTGCACGACCCCAAGCTGCAGCTGATGAGTGCCCACGATTAGGAACAAGTAAGAGACCACACTCGGACAGACATCTGGACTTTAGCCAAGTCCACTCTCCTTGCTTTCTAAACCAATAATGTTTAATTCCTTTGTTCTCAAACCCCAGCCCTGGCACCTCAGTCTCTCATGCTCAGGGAGATCCTCCTGGGGGGGGTCTGTGTCTTGCTCTTTCAGTCAATAAACCCCAACTTCTTGCCTGCCCTCACCAGTGTCTGTGGGGTCTTCTTTTCAATCTTGGTCTCTGTCAAGAGGCCTTTCCTGGCTTGTGTGTGTGTGTTGGGGGAGGCGTGCGATGTGGGGGCTTTTGGTCCATCTCTCCTTTCCCAGCAGGTGGAGCTGTGTTGTTAGAAGGTGGGGTGGGACTGAGGCACCCTGGGCTGCTCCCTTGTGCTGCGACAGGAATATCTAATCAGTTTAGCAGGGACACTTGTTTAAAATGGATTCACTTTTACAGATCTTTATCTATAAACTTGGGGAGCTGCTAAATAGAAGTTTCAAGATCCTTTTGTTAATTACATTTTTCTGTATTTCACAACTGAGGATTGGTTTAACTTCACTTGTTATAGCTTTTGAAAGTAGACATAGATAAGCATCAGATTAATAGATTAATTTAGCTTATTAGATACAAGTTGCCTCACAGGGAAATCCTTTCTATTTCGTAATTCCACTGCACAGGCAGAATATCACCATGATTACATAAATAGCAAAACTCTTTCTGTAGAGTAAACTTAATTATAGAATGCCAGAATTGAGAATTAAAAAAGAATGTAAAATAAGATCTGGGTGAAGATCTCAAAGAAGTGAAGTTCACAATAATTATTAGATTAGACACACCTGTTTCAAATGATAGCCCCTCCCCCCTGCCCCCATTTTTTGCTTTAACATCTTAAACTTCTTGGATGGCCTCATGGTCATTTGGCAGAAGTTCATCATTAGAAACGGAAAAAAAAAAATAAGTGGACTGTATGTAGTTATGTCCAAATTCTTCCTGATGAGAACATATTTGTCTTTTAACAAGGTGTTAGTCTAGGCACATTTCTCTCTTAAGTGAGACAATATGGACAATAGAAATTCATTCCTGAAAGTAAAGACAGAACACTGCTACATCAGAAGGCTCATTCCAGTTTTTATATCTGCTAATCTTCCCCATGGAAGGCAGCCACTTCATTTAAAAGAAAATATAACGTGAATACCACTCTAAAATTCATACCTGTGGTTCTGATTCTAAGTTGATTTTGAAAGGATGAGCTTTCCCTTCTTCAGATATTTGGGGAGACCACAAGCGAGTTTCTGCCCTGCAAATAAAATGAAGATTGTAAACTCCAATGCTAATGATGCTTCCTGCTTTTGAGTACTTGAGCTTTCCATAGTGTTTGTACAGGTACTAGGAAGCCTAGGCATTCAACAGAAGCAGCATTCCTTGCTCATTATTCTGTATTCTCCCATCTAATTAGACTTTAAAAAAATGTACTTTTGGGGAAATGTGAATGGACCAAAGTTGCCTGGACGACTGCTGTGGACTGACTGTGTCTCTCCTCTGCCTCACATTCACATGCTGAAACCCCAAAGCCCGATGTGATGGCATTTGCAGGCAGGGTCTTTGGGAGGTAATTCCATTTAGATGAAGTCCTGAAGGTGGGGCCTTGGGATGCAGTTAATGCCCATATGAAAAGAGGAAGAGACACAGGTCTGTCTGCACCAAAGCAGGCTATGTGAGGTCACAACCAGGAAGGGGGGGTCTCCTCGAAGACCAGACCGTACTGACACCCTGACCTCAAATCTCCACCCTCCATGACTGTGAGAACAGGCTTGCTATTCAGCCACCTGTTGGAGGATAGCTTTGTTTTAGCAGTCAGAATGAGGCAAGGGCATTGCAGAGTTTCTGGAGAGAACAGCCTCCAATGCATATGGGAAACAGTCCAGGAAGGGGAGGTTCTGAAGCTGCACCCTGAGGCAAATTGCCTGAAGCACCCTGCGTTCTGAAGCAAATGACCATAAAGCAAACTCCCGGGGTCTCTACTTCCCTACCTTTCCTACCCAGGCCACCACCAGAGACACTGCATGCTTTGCAGGTGCGGGGGTGGGGGGACATTGGGGGGGCAAAGGAAGATGTGTTGGCATCAGGGAGATGTGCTTTGTTCAGCCGGTCTGGAGCTATGTGGGACTTCCTTGGGACTCTGTGCTTGGCAGGAACAAGGATTATGCACAGATAGGGAAAAAGTCGATTTTACTCTGTGAAATGGCAGATTGCTTATTGATTGCGTCCTCCGTTCCAGGACTTTGTGAATACAAGGGAAACTGAATACAATAGCCATGGGATTTGAATACCAACAACCACCATAACAAACCATTATTTCACAATTCAGATTCAGATCAGGGCTCTGCAGGCAAGAGATCTGACTGAATGAAGCTCCTAGTTGCTTTTCTTTTCTTTTTGGTCAGAAATGTCTCCTTATCTAGCATGCTCCTATGATCATACACTCCCACCTTGTGGGATTCTTCTAGGCTTAATTCTGCACAAAGCAGCCATTGGCACAGGAGATTAGCAGCCAGTTTTTGATGTGATCACATTCTTGGCAAGTCAAGAGATTGTGTCAGGAGAAGCTCAAAATTCCATTCCATTCTCTACCACACGTATAATAGCACTACAATTAGGGAGCAGTTCAGTGTTTATGTGGCCAATACACTTGGTGGTTCTATGTTTACAGTCAACTAACTGTATTAGTACAAGGAAAACATTCCTACAGTCTCTTCATTATTTTTGACATTCCAGGGAATTCCTTTTAGAAATAGTTTAACAACTACTGATAGACTGACTTCAGTGAAGAACAGACAAAAGTGGTTGAAATAATTTAAAGTACTCACAATTTCTAGGTCCTTTTGTAACAGGGAACCTCCCCAGGCCTCCCCCTTTCCTGGGGACCACCCTGTTACACTTTAACCCTCCCTCTCACTGGGAAGATGACATCATTTATAGTTCTAGTTCAGGTTGTTCTGCAAAATACATCATATTTTAACACCATCAGTCAAGGAGTACCTGTCAATTTTGAGGCACAGCTGGTGTGCTGCTGCTTTAATCCTGTCCTGTGCATCAGCATGAGTCATGGACTCTGTACCAAAACCATCAATCGCCAGGATGACATCCCCAGGACACAGGTTGGCAGCTGCTGCCTTGCTTCCTGGAGTGATCTGGAAGAAATCAGGCATCAGTTAAAACTTACCTTCTGCAATTTATTTATTTATTTTTTTGTGGGACCCTCGCCGGCGGCCGGGGAACTGCGACCAGGGAATGAACCAGCGCTGCAGAGGCTGCAGGCAGCCTCACAGCCCAGCTCTCAACTGCTGAGCCACCAGGGGAGGCCCTGCAATTTCTTTTTTTTTTTTTTTAAAGTTAGTCTTTTTTTTTTTTTTAAGATTTATTTATTTATGCATACAAGAACTGGGGTACAGGCCAGAGATGTGGCGGGTGAGATGATTCACCAGAGACAGAGTGGGGAACAGAACAGGCAGAATGACTGAAATACACTGCTGAGGGGAGCAGTGGGTGAGACAGGAGAGATCTGCTGTGCCATGTGGGTAGCTACCTGGCTGGGGATTGAACTCATGCTGCAGTGGCAGCGGACTGCTGCATAGGTTGTGTCTCAACCCCTTGCGCCACCAGGTAGGCCCTTCTGCAATTTTCTGAGTTTTGTGCCTGACATTTGTATTTCAACTTGGTAACATTTTAAATGTTTCACTGGGCAGGAACTCTTAAATCTAACTTAAAGTAATTCCTAATTGAGCAATTAGTTAACTAATTGCAATTAGCAAATAGTTAACTCTGTTTTTGCATCGTACTAAATAATTTTACTAACCATATTTCTTTCTTTTTTTTTTTTTTTTTTTTTGCGTAGAAGAACAGGGGTGTAGGCCAGAGGTGCAGGGGATGTGAGGATTCGCCAGAAATATAGTAGGGAGCATTTCAGGCGGATCCACTGAAATACACTGCTGAGGGGAGCAGCCGGCGAGAGAGGAGAGGTCTGTTGTGCCATATGTGGGTCAGCTCCCTGGCTGGGGATTGAACTCAAGCCATAATGGCGATAGGAGTGATAGTGCTGAGACTTAGCCCCTAGGCTACCAAGGAGGCCCATAACCACATTTCATCTAGTATGACATCTCTTATTCTTTCCCCCAGTTTTATTGAGATTGGATCAATATGCATTCTTTTTTTTTTAAACAAATTTTATTTTTATATTCCCCATACAATTGCAACCCCCTTATTTTGATCCCAATCCCTCCCCTCCCGGCCCCCCACCCCCCATAGAGTGTCTCTGGTTCATAGTTTTTTGTTGATTTTGATTTTCACTTTCTTATAGTTATTCATTTTCCTGGTCCCTTATTTAGGTTTTCTAGATTCCTGTTATGAGTGAGACCATCTGGTATTTTTCTTTTTCTTTCTGGCTTATTTCGCTGAGCATGATCCCTTCCAGCTCCATCCATGTTGCTACAAATTGCATGTGTTTATCTTTTTTGAATGCTGAGTAATATTCCATGGTGTATTTGTATTCTTATTCTCTTTTAAAACATCTTTCATAATAGACTTTTTGAATTACATAAAAATAATTTGGTTTTAGTTTTGTTTTTTTTTGTTTTTTTTTTTTTGTCACTGACCTAGAACTTTCTATTTGAAGACAGATCTTTACTAAATTTAGGGAGGTTTTATATTTGAATTAAAACAGTTTTGACATTTCTGTAAGTTGTGATCTTTATAGTTCACATATGAGGGGGCACCTATGATATAGAGAGTCGGAAAAAAATCATTCTTGGGTTAATACGAAGATGCCATATAATATACAAAATTGTAACTTTTCATGCACTCTTTAGAGATCATGAAGTTTCAGAATAACCAACTAATCTGGAATCTAAGACAATACGTAGAAATGTATCAGAACTGAGAGGACGATTTGGGTCACCACACTAGCTATTAAGAATTCAGCTAAAATTATGAACAAATTGCTAAAAGCTGATTGTGAATTAGCATTGAGAGTCTAGAACCCCTGGGAACTGCAGACACAAAGGAAGCTTGCATTCACACAGTCTTTTCTCCTTAATGAAGAACAGATGAAACAAATAGAAAACAATTAATATGATGCTAGATTTTAATTCTTTCGGAAATTACACTAAGCACAAATGGCTAAACGGATCACAGTTTTGTTTTTTTTTTTTTAAACAGGTTGTCAAAGTGGGTAAAAAAGCAAGATCCAGTTTTATGCTATGTATGACAAATCAACATGGATTTCTTTTTTGTGGGGCCAGAGGGAGTGAAATGGGGATAATACGGTTGCTTAACAAATAGCTAACTTAAATGTTACTATTTTGAGTATTCAGTTAAAGGCAGTGATTCTTATAAAGTTTTTCTTTATTGAAGCAACATTGCATTATCAGATTATATAAGATTCAGGTGTGCATCACTGAAAATCAACGTGTGTATATATTACATTAACTTCACCACTACAAATCCAATTCTATGCTTCTCCATACAATTGTCCCCTTTGTCCTGATTTACGCTCCTCTGCTCTTCCTTCCCCACTGGTAACCTCTAATTGGTCTTGTAGTCCAAAAGTTTATTTTGTTTTACTTAGTTCATCTGTTTGTTTGTTTTCTCTGTATACTGTATATGAACGAAATTATACTGTGTTTGTCTTTGTTTGGCTTACATCACTAGGCATAGATAGTCCATTCCTGTTGTTGTAACTTGTAGGACTTCATCTTTTCTTTTTATAGCTGAATAGTATTCCATCTTTACTACCCATTCATCAGTTGATGGGCACTTAGGTTGTTTTTAGTTCTTGGCTATTATAACTAACGCTGCAATGAAATATGGGTTCATTGCATCTTTGAATTATTAGTGTTTTTATATTTTTGGGTAAATACCAGATGTGGGATAACTGGATCTTATGGAATTTCTATTTTTAATTTTTGAGGACTCTCCATACTGCCCCCCATAATGGCCACGCCAATATACATTCCTGCCAAGACTCTACCAGGTTTCACTTCTCTTCACATCCTCGCCAAAACTTATTGTTTCTTGTCTTTTGGATAATAAGGGCAATGATTCTTTTGATGGCTATACTAGGTTTTACTCGGCAAATCCCAACTATTTACCACTGCCTCACAGGCCTCGCCTTGCCTGCTTCTCTAAATGATCTTGTTCTACGCTCTGCCTCCTCCGTCACTGCACTGTGGCTATTCCAGTTTCCTTCCAGTTCCTCAATAGCTCAAACTTGGGCTTCACACACACTGTTATTTTTGCCTGAGATGCTTTCCTGACTATTCACCCAATTGCTCCTTCTCAGCCTTTAGAGCTAATCTACCACACCACATTAGAAAGGCTTTCCCAAACATCTGAAGTAGCTTCTCCAGGCTCTCTCCCACATTCTCCAAGATTTCCTTCATGAAACAATTTGAACTTTTATGTTTATTTACTCGTGCATGGTCTGTCTTCCCAACTATACTAGGAGCTCTTGAGGACATGTATCATGTTATGTATATTGCTAATACCTCACAGTATATATTACAATGCTTGGAATTCTTGAATAATTTATTTAAAAAATCAATGAAAATGACACTTAAGGGCCTCCCTGGTGGCACAAAGGATTAAGATACAACCTATGAAGCTATCCGCAGCCACTGCAGTACAAGGTCGATCTCCAGCAAGGGAGATACCCACATGGTGCAGTAGACCTCTCCTGTCTCACCCGCTGCTCCCCTCAGCAGTGTATTTCAGTTAATCTGCCTGTTCTGTTCCCCGCTCTGTCTCTGGTGAATCCTCTCACCCCCCATATCTCTGGCCTGTACCCAGTTCTTGTATGCATAAATAAATCTTTAAAAAAAAAGAAAATGACACTTAAGTCAGAGCTTATAAAACATAAAAAGCCAGTCTCTATTCAAATATCATGGCTGTTAATGTTGACCTATGATTTTTATGCTTGTAAGTTCCCACTATTTAGAGGAGAGTAATACATGGGGCTTGACTTAAAATTCAGATTGTTCTAGGAGCAAAATAAATTGTTTCCAATGTTTTACTTGCGGCTCAGTCATTAATTAATTTTTTCCCTCTACCTTATTCTAGTTATTGTATTACACTTGTGGTTCTAAGGGAAATCTAAGATCCACCCAAATGAATAAAATTGCTAAAATAATAAATTCTCATGTGTCCTGGATCTTTAATCTCATCTTTAAAATCTTTGCTGTGCTCACTTTGTTTCTGTGACCATCTTACTGTCAGGTCATGATAATTTTCCAGTAAGAACACTAGATAGGAAAGGGGTGAAGATAACTGGGATTATGACATTTCAGTCTTTGGGAGACATTTCACAACTGTTTTCCATTTAGAAATTCTCCTAAACCCAGAACTGTTAGAAGAAGTTTCCATCCCTGATGTGACTTGTAGGGATAAAAATAATCTTCAGCTTTTAATAATCTCTAGTTATAGTTTGTCAAAATCAGTGCTATCTATTTTTAAACTTCTAAGATCAGAATACTTTTCTTTAACTTAAAACATGAGAAGACATAGTGTAATTTGTTTGCTTTTAAAGCTTCACTTAATCTACTTAAACCTCTAATATATTTAAATAGATAAGTCATATAACAATCTTGATTTAGAAAAGTCTAACATTATTTTTTAGCTCTGGTTAGAAACAGTGTAAGGTAAGGCTGTGTGTGTAGATCTTTCTATATAAATTTTAAACAGAGACTTCTGGTTGCTGAACTTAGATACTAAATTGTATTAATGGTATTTATTATAGAAGTGAATAATACTATCTTATATTTATGCAGAATATTATATTTGCAAAGCTCTTTTTCATAACTTTTACCTTTGTAACAACTCTAAGAGGGGTGTCTAAGAATCCTGTCTCTTTTTACTAAGTTGGGTGCAGGTGTACAGCCAGCTGTGTGGCCAGCTGTTTCAGAAGTCAAATGGGGAAGGTGGTTGATGGTGATGGCCATTTTGCATCCAACCTGATCCTTGCTCTCCTGGGACCTCCAGCAAAGTAGTTATAAGAAAGAAAAAAGATGTAGAAAGAGAGATGAGAAAGAAGGAAAGAACAAGGACTTTTTCCTAGTTCTTAAGCTCAGCTTGGATAGTGATCAGAAAATGGTCACTACACTTGTCTGGTTTCAGTAAGTTAAACTACTTATTTAATCTT